ATTATACATATGTTCCCACAAAGAAAATGCAAGAACAGTGTGAGCTTTAAGTTTTGACAGATTTATTCTGTAAAAAGATATATTTTCTTATTTTATTTTTAGTTCTGGGATATATGTGCAGGATGCTCAGGTTTGTTACATAGGTAAACATGTGCCATGGTGAGAATGTAAATTAGTTCAACCATTCTGGAAGACAGTGTAGCGATTCCTCAAAGACCTAGAACCAGAAATACCATTTGACCCAGAAATCCCACTACTAGGTATATGCCCAAAGAAGGACATATTTTCTAAGAAGCACAAAATTTGTCAATTTAAATTTTCTGCCAATGTGACCATGTAACTTAACAAACATTGGCTATAAAAACCAATTTCTGAGAAATATTACAAATTTAGTTTATAGTTTAGACAATAAATTCTTTTCATGTTGTTTACTTGAAATCAGTGAAATGACAGCACAGTTATACAAGCATGTAATTCCATTGTAATTTTTATTACTTATTAACTAACTTCATAATTAGCATTAAATTATGTCATGTAAATTTTTTATGTAAAAATAAATTATGTTTAGTAAAAATCATTTTGTCAACACAGTATCTTTCACAACAATATGATGAAAAAGCTGAAAAGTAGCACTGACTATATTTGAATTACATTCTTATATTTCTGTCTTCTGTTATATGAAACTGGGATTTTCATAATAACATACAATTTATTTTGGTAGAGCATAATAAAAATGGTTCACCTCTAACGGGAATAGCCTCAATAATTATGAACATAATACTTCTTACTTTCACCATGCACATACCATGTAATGAACAAATTATACAGCCTTAGGTTCTAAATAGTCCTCAATGATTGAAGGATGCCAGGGGAATAAAAATGTGGGCTCTAGAACCAGAATAGGTAGTCTCACTCTCAAGCCTTGTTGAATAAGGCAGAGTATGCACATGTGTATCATTGGAATAATTTAGCAAAATTATCTTCTAGTTATGTATTCTAGGGGCCCACACACCTATAAGGTCCAAATTTCTACTTTTACCCTTCAATAATACATCAAACATAAAATTCTTATACTATATACAAAATCCTGAAGATAAAGTCAGTATGTTACATTTGCAAGTAAACAGAAAATAAAAATCACTGAAATAAGCTAATAAGTTAGCTCAGTTAAGCCTTTAGGAAGTTTCTGGTAGCTTCCTTTTTCCAACCTCAAAATTGGCAATAATACTTATTAGCAATCTTATTTATGATAAATTTATTTTTAAATGAATAATTTATTAGATATTATGTAGTAGTTTCATGTAGAGGCAGGAATACTGTTAGATATCTGTAAGCATCTCATCCCAACCATACAACAACACAGCAACAGATCAGCAGAAAGCAAGATCTCAATTTCACCAGCAAGAAAACTCAGCAAAACTACTAAGCCAAAAGTGCTTCAAACAGCAAGAACCCGATCACTGATTTAAACGGACAAAGGAAAATGACAGTCATTTATGAAAAGATGAAAGGGTGATAAAACATGATATGACATATGATGATCATTTAAACACCAATGTCATAACCAGATACTGCTTTGACACCCAGAATCCATTTAATGACAGAGGAGACAGAAATAACTGAAGAGAGAATAGGGTGGGGAATTCTTCCACAGGTAACTACAGCTCTTGCTATCCCCTCTTGAGAAAAAAGAAAGAAATCACTTCTGGCTGTTATCAGTCAGAACTAAATCTTTATGAACTTCTCTCAAAACATCAGCACAGGAATCTCATATTTCAAAAACAAGGTGTGTGTGGTCGTATACACATTACATCTATGAGGGAAGGAGAGAGATGTATGAAAGAACAGAAGGCTGGTGTTCAAGGTCATTCTCCTCTTGAAAAGAGAAAGGGAAAAAAATGACTAAAAGAAATGACCCAGGGCACAGGAATCAAGCGGTAACTTCTTTCCACCTATCTGCTTATGCCTGTTCTTATAGATACCCTATTGTTCTGTCCCTATTAATAACTAAAAGAGGGCTTACAAAGATGGAGGCTTTTTATTGGAAATTTCCTATCAATATCTGACAGTGTTAACTCATCAGTGAGCCAGGCCAGTGAGTGAAGCTAGCTCTGTCTAAAGATGATTCTTAACAAGGACAGTGGACTCAGATTTTCAAAGTAACTTGTACCCTTTCCATTTTCCCAGAAAAGGGAGAAGAAAAAGGCAGCAGAAATCTTTTCCCCTACTTTAGGAATTTCTGTCCATGCAAACTTGTATTAGGAGCTCTATTTAGTTATGATATTTAACCTAACTCTAATCTGCACCAATGAGTGACATTTTCAAACATGCATCACACCATTGTCTATGTTTAGGTTTCTGAGCATTCAGCATCCATTTTAACGCATTTGCTTTGCCTTCCCTGAGGCTGAGGGTGGAAGAACAAAACTTAACCTGCAAAAGATGGAATCCTTAGTGGAAAAAGGCCAGAAGAAAGTGAAATGAGGTGGGAGGTGGTGAAAACACCTTATTTTCCAAGTACCTATATTCACCAGCATTTCTTTTTTCTTGGGCACTGTCTAGATAGGTATGACTTATTTGCTAAAAAATATTGTAAGTATGATATCAATACTGTTGCAATGATATTCTGGGGCAATTTGGGGAGGGGGACAAAGAAGTATGGTTGTCTGACGTTTAAAATAAACAAATCAGATTTGTTTAAGATTTTCTGAGTGATAGGAGGATTAGAAGTAAATTCACTAAAAGAGAAAAATTTTAAAAAGAGAAGATATGAGGAAAAATCCTTTTTAAATTTTTTCCCAATTATCTGTTATCTTTCATTTATTTCATTAAACTAGGCAATTTCTCACTTTTTTCATTGGTTCTCACAGGATGAAGTTCTGTTAAAGTCGAGATATCTTCTGTATCACTCCTTGGTTCTCCCTGGAGCTTGAAGTCACAAAGCAAATCTGAAGAGTGGCCCTCCTGTCCTCCTCTTTCACGTTTATTGGGTATCAGGTAGGGGAGGGAGGTTAGTTGACTTTACAGAGGTGTTTCGACTGGAAACAAAACGGGTATAAATGACCTAATCAAACCCAGAAGAGCAAGAAGGAAGGGGAGAAAGAAGAATAAATGAAAATCCAGGAAACACACACTTAGCTTCAGGATTTTAATCCTGATAAATCATGCAGTATTTGAATATCAGGACATTTTTGTAGCCAGCTTTCCTTCCATATTCTTGAGTATTCATGGAGGGTGGGGAGAGAAAGAGAGAGAGACAAACAGAAAGAGACAGAGACAGAGAGAGAGACAGAGAGAGAGAGAGAGAGAGAGAGAGAGAGGATTTTGCAGGCAAAGGCAGGACACCATCGCCCTCTATGCTCCTCTGTGGCTGTGGGCATCTCCCTCCTCTCACATCCAGGCGGCCGCCTCGGCCACGATCCGCTTGCTGTCTGCCAGGGGGTCCGCTGAGCTCTTCCGCCCCGCCCCAAAAGAGTGTCAAAGCTGGCCTGCCAACTGCAGTGGCAGAGCCCAGCCCCCAAAGCCCGCTGAATTCACAGCCTTGCAGCACCCCCAGCCTGCGAGGGCTGCAGCAGCAGCAGAGCCCAGACTCGAGGAAGAGCTGGGGACGTCAGTGCGCAGGGACAAGCAGAGCAGCTATCGGCCAGCTCGAAGTCTGCAAATGCCATCATATGGATATCTATAGAAACGCAGCGAGTGGAGGAAAATCAGGCAGCGCCCCTACACTTCCTAAGCGGCTTTAGCAAAGAGAGTCCCCGCGCCCCAGCAGCCCCAGTCACTGCCTCCCGGTGCAAGGCATCCTGAGCTTGGCTAGGCAAAATCCTCCGCCGAATGTAGCCAGTAAGCAGCTCCCAAAGGCGAGAGACAAACGAACACTCCTTAGCTAAATTATTAAGACCGTCTTCACTACGGAATAAAACATTGATGAGACTACTTTGGAAGTGCTTTATCTTGTTAATTCTAATGTCTTCAGGAAGGGAGTGACATTTTACGTTGGGGGCGGGCGCTGAGATGAGAGGAAAGGGAATTCAGGGGGAAAAGGCGCTAGGGTAAGGGGCTTTGTAAGTTAACTAAATTTGTTGCGCTTCAGCCTGCCCTGGGAATCTCCTTTTAACATATCAGACCCAATATGTAAATTAGGCAGTAGCAAATCCAACCTGCTCCTTGTAAATCAAGGCATCCGAAAAAAAAAAAAAAAAATCAAAATACCTATTATACAGAGACAAAGCAAAACACACACAAACAAAAAAACGCGCACAGGAGCCCCTCTCCGTGACGGAGACAATACAGCTGGAGAGGATGTTGGGTGGTGGCTATCGTTTTAGCTTGGTTCTGCTAGATATAAAAACGACTTCTTCCATGGATTTATTCTGCTACATAAAAGCACGCCCTGGCAGCTAAACACCATATCTCAAGACACACACCCGTGGCAATATATTCCCTTTCATGCAAACCAAGTTCCAAGAAAACTCCATTTCCAGTCAAAGTCTCCAGATGCGTAATTTACAACTATTGAAAAGATCTGGCAAGCTCCTCCACAACAAGGAAAGGAAAACAACCTGGCACCAGAGGTAGAAAAGTGTAAAAAACATATTTGGCTTAAATGATGGGTGAAAACCAAACACCCACTCACACTCCACAATCTGGAGAGGGTTGGGTACCAAATGGTCCGTGGCAACCATAGCCTGAAGGAAACACAGAATTTTGATCTCCGGCATCTTCAGACAGGTTCCACACGCCTAGCTCTCAAAAAATATCCTCAGGGTGGAGCACATCCATATTCTCAAAGCATCCACTACTAGATGAAGTGCTCAGGTATAGATTTATATTTCACCTACTAGAAATTGTATTACAAAATCACAGAGCAGCGCCCTTGGATACCCAATCCTTCTCAATGATTTTCAAAACATTAATAAGTAAAGTAGGCTGCAATGCAGATAAGACACTAGAAACAAGATCAGAAGGAAATTGGGTGAGGCGCTTAGTCGTTGGCTTGTTACCTGGTGCCTCTAGGGGAAAAGACGGTCATAGGAAGACTTTCTGCCTGCAGGTACAATCCCGACAAGGTGGCTCCAGGTGGCTTTCACAGTCGTACCCGGGTCTCGCTCGTCACTTCGCTGCCCTTTGCCATAGCTCAGCACCCGCATCCTAGGGAGTCGGAAAGGCGGCTCCTGCCACTGCCGCCGCTGCCCGCAGGTCGCGCTGGGTGGGGGATCCGCGGCAATCGCCCCATGAAACCCGCGGCTCCGCGCCTGGGGAGCGGGCAAAGGCAGGGCGGCCGCGCACGCACACACAGACACGCTCACACTCACACACTCGTACCCAGGCGCGCGCACTTGCACTCACACTTGCACACTCACACCCAACACTGCACGGGGAGGAAGGCAGCACGGAGGGAAGCAGTCCTTCTCACGAGTGGCTTCGAAGCCCACCGGACCGCGGGCAGCAAAGAGAGCGTTCTCGCATAGCCGTTTAATCACGTTTCCTTCAAGTTCTCCTCCAACCCGAATCCACGTAATTCAAGAGCTGGTGACATTTTGGTGGGGAGGAGGGAGACGGGAAAAGGCTGCGGAAGAGTGAGGATTATGTTAGGCAGTTTGATAAGCAATCCTCATTACCTTGTTTTTTTTCTTTTTGTATAGCAAAACAGCTCGACGGGCTGAACTTTTGGCTTCAAATGCTGTGGACCAAAACGTAAATATCCTTCTGGCCAAGACGAGAAGGTGTAGATACACGGAAACAAGAGGGCTGCAAGACCCTCTCTTGACCTTGTGATGTACCTGGAAGCCGGTTAAAAACTGGCGCTTTCCAAGCTTCTGGGTAAAGTGATCCACACACCTGGGTCCACAGCCCAGCAGCCGCTCCAAATCCAGCCAGGAAAATGGGTCCGGGCGTCCTCAGAGCTCTGCAAGAACCCGGGCATGAAGGGGCATCGCCGAGTTAACACATTCTGGGCAGTTGGATAAAAGACAGTCAAATGCATGAGATAGGCGCGCGCGTACACACTCGCGCGCACACACACACGCAGCTAGCTGGAAAGCAGCTTACAAAACACTAGAGACATGCCAAGACGACTTGAAAAGGTAGCCAACATCCAGGATCTTTCCGGAAAACAGAAGGGCCAGCAGGGAGGTTATCAAAGTCTTCTCAAGTCTTTCAATTTTTCATCTCTCCTGTGAGTGCGTGTGTGTTTCCAGGTTTCGTCGGTCTGCCCCACCCCCGTCCAGTTGCGCTTTTTTTTTTTTTCCCTGATATAACCGACCGTGCAAAATGGATTATACGGGTGGGTTGTGCTCACAGCCCAGAGCTCCCCAAAGTCAAGAATCCTAAGGGAGCAGCCAGCTGCGAAACAATTCACACCCTCAAGGGAAGAAGGAAAAACACCAGCAAACACATGCACACACGCGCACACACATACATAGTCCTCGGCTGGGGCAGTTCTGCACACGCTCACCGCTTCCCTGCGCGCGGCTGCACACAGCGCCCCGCCCGCTGGCCACCGCGCTGGGGCGAATCCGCAGTTCAGGCGCAAGGCGAGCAGCTGAGGTCTGGGGCGGCGGCCGCTGCCGGGGCGGGCCAGGGAACCGAGCTTCCCAAGGCGGCGCGTGCAGGCAACGGCGGCCTCCTGGCCGAGTGGAACTGAGCCCCGCGCTGCAGCATGGAGGCGGCTGCGGCGGGCGCGCGGCCGTGAGCTCGGCCCGCGCCGCAGTGACGGGAGCGGCCGCGTCTGCCAGACCCCAAGAGTCCGTGAGAACCTGGCCCGGGCCGCTCAGCTGCTCTCAGCCCTCGCGCCTCCCAGCCAGACGTGTTCCAAACCGATTTATCCCGGGACGCGGAGAGGGCCGGCGAAGCGCCGGGAAATCCCCAGGCTGAGGAGGAGCGGGGGCGTTGCAGGAAGGGGGAAGGGAAAAGGCAGAAAACCTGGAGGATGAAGGCGAACTTCCAGGGGCGTCCCCAGCCTCCTGCAAAAGGGCAATTTGCTGATCGCCCACTTCCTCGCGGTTACTGGATAGAAAATCGTCACTGAGTCAAGCTTCCGCTGCTTAGGGCGGTGGGAAAAGTCATTAGCTATAACCCGCCGGAAATTTTGAGGAGAGCTACTGACTTGGGGGTTTCAGTCATCTGAGGCAGGCTTCCGCTGTCCCCTTAGTTGTGGGTGGTGATTTGCTTACTAATCAGATGGGCGCAGATTCTGAAAAGAACATTTACATTTGGGAAGCAACACAGCTCAGCATCAGACATTGCGAATACTGCAGTTGGTCTCATTTTAGTATGTCAAGGGCAGAAAGGGTGCCTAACAGTCCTCATAAGCCAGACCTGGTCTCTAAGGTCACCGGTACAGACGCAGGTTCTAAAGCAGAAGAAAGGTGCGACTGCAAAGGAGGTTAGACAGGGCCCTGTGGGAGTGGATCTGCCCGGAGCCCTCGCCTGGTTTTGCTTGAGACTCCGACAAGACTCCCAGTGCTTCTCTCCCCGACCCTAGCCCCACTTCCTCCAGCCTGAAAAAGCCAGTAAGCAAAGTTAATGCTTTCTTCTAAGAACTCCTTAGTGAAATCTTGCTATTCCTTTCTGCTAGAATCCTGAAACCCTTCCGTTTTTCGTTGTGAGTTCACCAGCACGTTGTCTTCAAACACTGCAGGCACCTTCGCTCTCAGCTCTGATCCTAACCAGTCCAGATACCAGTTTGTACCCAAAGGCTATGGAAGAGTAGGAAGTTGCAAAGGGAAGCTGGCTAACAAGGACTTCTTCTGGCCTACTTGGCAAAGGCTCACGCTGATGGCCTCGGTGGATAGGGAGCTCTTTCATTTTATTCCAAAAAGAGCTCTGCCAGGCATTACCATTGCCTTGCAGGTGCACAAGCGCGCGTATACTCGAGCACAACCTTGGGCTCATCCCAAGCGCGCACACGTGCACCCATGCGTAAGGAAGACCCACACAGCTATCTCCAGGAAGAACCCGAAAAGTGCTTTAGGTAGCAGCTGCTCACATCATTCTTTCCTCTGCTCTCCGTCTCTGCCCCTGATGTTCCCAGTCCAATCCTGGGCTTAGGAATCCACTCAAGCCACGTCTGTTCCAGAGAAGCGCGGCTCCGGGGACTGCACTTCCAGCCGCACAGCCCCCCTTCAGGTTGCCAAGCGGCGCCAGATCTGGGGCTCCAGGGTCTCCGCGGGAGCTTAGGAAGCTCAGGATCCGAGTCAGCGAGCTGGAGAGCCAAACTCCGCGCAGCTTGGGGACTGAGCAGCAAGACCAAAGAAATAAACCAAAGGGACACCACGGACAGATGTACCAAAGGACACCACTGACTTCCAGGAGAGTCTCCACTAAAGCCATCAGCGTTTTCCTTGTAGCTTTCTGTCCCTCAAAGTGGAAAATTGAGGTTTCTGAGACGTCACGGATAGAATCTGCAGCAAACTGAAGCCACAGACTCCGGAGGCACAGGGAGAGAAAATGCTTCCATCCTCCTTTCACTTTAAACTTGATCGCTTCTGGGACTTCACTGGAGGGCGATGGAGTTGCACCAGCCTGGAGTACAAGCAGATCCCAGCGAGCACTTCCAAGTACTTTAGGACGTGGGGGTGACTCCTTTTTCTTCAGGATTGTCCCACTTGCCAACCTTTCCATCTGAGCTGATACGAACCAATGAAAGTCTAGGCATTAGGATTTTCTGTTTCCTCATGGGATCAAAGTATAAAATGTTGAATGAGAAATCCAAAGACCTTGCATCACTGGGCTGAATAACTTTTTTTCTTTTTTGTGGTGTCCAGACTGAGGTAGGGAAGAGATATACTGAGCCAGCTGTAAGAAGTCAGGAGTTGGGACAAGACGAATTTCAAATATACTGGAAGTGTGTGTGTGTGTGTGTGTGTGTGTGTGTGTGTGTGTGTGTGTGTCAGCTTGAGAAAGATGAAATCAACATTTCCTTACTGCTTGGAGTAATTATCCTTACCTTTTCATTGTTCTTTCATGTTGCAAATCCTAGCAGGCCCAGGAGAACACCTTCTTTCCATTTCTTGTAGCCTTTCTGAATATCATGCATTTTATTTGAAAGTGCTTTCCTCTGCTTTCCCCGTTTCATCTCAATAATCTCTGCTAAAGCCAGATAACTTTCACTCCCCAGATTCAGCATTTGGTCTTTTCCCTTCTACACAAGCTGATTAGAATTTTCAAAGAGAGATGACGGAGAAAGCTTCTATTTTGTTTGGTGATTGTTGCTAGAAAATGGCAAGACCTCAAGAGGGACCAGAATGTTTTTCCCCAGTGATGTCAGAGCTAGCAAAGTTTTGTTGTTGTTGTTGTTTCTTTACATTTTATTCCCCAGCAGGTCAAAAACTAGGATGTTTGCAAGAACAAGTTCTAGTTTTTCATAAAACTATCGTTATTAGCCACTCTGAGGTTGGCATACTTTTAAGAGTTCATACAAGTTCCTTGTAGAATAGGGTTGCTTTAAACATTAGCATTTAAAGAGAAATTTTTTTTTTCACAAATAATTTAGATTTAACTCACCTCTATAGAATATCTGCCTTATTTTGTTAATGTGTTCCCTGATTTACTGTATATGTCAAATCACTTTTAAAATAATGTCAGCTTTCTTGTTCTCCCAGCTCATTTCTCTAAGGACCAATGGCAATAAGTGTTGGTCCCCCTATTTTCCCAGAATATCCAAGATTTTAGGTAATTAATGGAAATGTGAATGTTTTCCAGTTAAAGTGATGAATATCAAAAGCTAACCTGAAATTCTGCGTATATAATTATTTAATATTTGAGTTTCTTTTTAAGATAGAAAAAAGTTATGATCTACTTTTTTATAAATGGTATTAACCATTAATGTGCACATCTCATGAAATTTACTATGTGGATTAAACCATGTAGTAAGTTATCATTTAATTCATTAATTTGTTTTATATATAATTAAGGAAGCTTATTATAAATTAGAAATACCTTACCTTCAAATTCCCTGGGTGAAAAATCGCTACTGAGTTACAAGCCTTTGATTATTTTTACTAATATAATGTAATACAATATATTAAGTTCTCTGACAGTTCAAAACTGGGAATTGCAATGAAGAAACAACAAGGAAATACAAGTTTTTGAAATGAAGGGCTATCATTTACAAAAAAAATGAGTTAAACAGAATAAATGAAATCCAAACATCGATTTTTTTTTTAATCTATGTAGTTTTGAAATGTAAAAAGAACTGTGCTTATTTTAGGAGCATGTTTCAAATGTTTTAACTGACCTTAAAGTACTAGAATACAGTGTATTTTGGTAACTAGATATCACCAAAAATACATTTCAACTGATTTCAAAAGAGTTGAAGACCTAACATGTTTCTGGGATACATAGATAAACAGATTTCTCACTGAAACAACAACAGCAAAATCAAATGTATTTTGTATTTAACCTTCTTTTGAGTTACAGAAATTTTTTATTTTATTGTATCTTGATGTTTTAAACGTGATTTATATAAAACACATTTTATCTCCTTTCTTTCTGAATCTCTATTGTACATTTTAACCTTTATAGATCATGATAATAGTCAACTATCAAGGTCTACTTGATGAAAACTGGAACTAGCACTAGGAACCCAATATATTATTGGATGAAAGTGGACATTTATTTTACTAAGAAAAATGATTTTTGAACCTAATATTTTAAAACACAAATACAATGTGTTTTAAAGATTATATCCTTAGCAGAGAGTTTTTGAGAGAGCTTGAAGGAAAGGAATTATTTCAGAGATAAGCATTGCTATAGAGGAAGGACAATTCTTAAACCATACTGAATGTTAGACATAAATTTTATCTTTCATCTCCATTCATATATTTTCTTGCTTCTTTGCTTATATGTTGATGTCAGCTCATATTTGTCTGGTGCTCCTATTTAATTACCCAAGAGCCCCAAAAAGCATCATGCTATGAAGGACTATCTAACCCAAAGAAGAATTCTATGCTATTACAATTTCTACTTCTTGTCAAAACTCTCATGAAGTCACAGTAGATGGATCTAATTGAGCTTCTAGGAAAAAATAAATTATATCAGACTAATTTAAGCTAAAGTGTGAATGACTAAGCCAGCTACACCAGGAATATGAAGCCAACTTAACTTCTAAAAAGTAGACTTTCTAGAAAAGTGCATTAATACATACGGGAAGCATTGGTACCTCAGTCATTCTTAGCCTTATATGCCAAATTGAATAATAAGGATGGTATTATATCTTATATTTTAAGGGTGGTATTATATCCTATATTTTCCTTTTTTTGGATTTTTGATAATGCTATTGAAAATTATTTACACCTAGCTTTAACATTTGAAAGAAACATTTTTAAAATTTATGTGTATGTATATATAGATAGTATTTCAGAAACTTGTCCACTAGATATTGAAAACTGTTTTCTAAAATGAGTCTAGTTGTAAAGCAATTATCTTAAAAATAAAACATCAGAATAATTGTTGTTATGACTTGATTTAGGAGTACAGGTAGGCACACCAAATCATATTTGGTAGAAGTAATAAGTTGTTTGAATGTCTGTGGAATTCAGTTTTTCAATACACTCATGTTAAAAGTCTGATTAAGAACTATTGTTGTGCAGGACCCCTATTGACTTCAATATGGATGACACCCCATCTGAGAGGTGGAAGAAGAGTCCCAGAGCCAGTGAATCAGACACAGCGTTTATTGAGGAGTTACATACAATTTGGTCCGGGAGTGGTGGGCTGGACAGGAAAATTGCTACTGTTTATAAAAAGCATACAACAAGGCCGGGTGCGGTGGCTCAAGCCTGTAATCCCAGCACTGTGGGAGGCCGAGGCGGGTGGATCACGAGGTCAAGAGATCGAGACCATCCTGGTCAACATGGTGA